CATGGTTGGCTAATTTTTGTATTTTTTTAGTAGAGACAGGGTTCCACCATGTTAGCCAGGCTGATCTCCAACTCCTGACCTTGTGATCTGCCTGCCTCAGCCTCCCAAAATGCTGGGATTGCAGGCGTCAGCCACTGCGCCCTGCCTAATTTTTAAATTTTTTGTTGAAATAGAGTCTCGCTTTGCTGCCCAGGCTGCAAACTCCTGGCCTGAGGCAATGCTCACACCTCAGCCTCCCAAAGTGCTGGGATTACATGTGCGAGCCACTGTGCCTGGCCTAAGCTAAACTTCTAATATGTGATATTAGTCCCTTTTTATTTTTATTCCATTCTTCAAACTATGATGTGAATGAATTGGTGGGGAGGAGCAAAGGTTGTTTTAGTAGAACTCTTTCCCCAGCTGAAATCCTATCCCTTTGCCCAGTAGATAAAACAAGTTAAAATGGAGCCTGGGTCCAATCCTCCTACCACCACCTGGTGCCTCCAGGGCAGTGGGGGCTCCCAATTCCCACCACATTTCTCAAGGCATGAAGCAAGGGGTTATGGGAGTATCTTAGAGATCTCTATCCCACCCTCAGCATGAAGCAAAGCCAGATCTGTCATATGTGTGACCAGCGCCAGATGCACTCCCATTTCACAAATTCAGGAGTTAAATGTCTTATCCATGCCTTAAATTAGACACGATAGTATACTGTGTTACTTTCTTTCGCAAGGAATAGAGGTGCTTATATCCCTGGATTTTTGTCTGTGCAGTTTGATGGATGTGTCTCAGAATGCCTACTCAGAAGACTCAGTGAATAGGGAAGCTGATTGAGCAGTAGCCCCAGCAAAAAGGAAATCAGGTTCCATACTTAATATTGCTAAGATGGCAAAACTCCCCAAGTGATCTACAGAGTCGATACAAAGTCCATCAAAATCTCAGCTGCCTTTTTGCAGAAACTAACAAGCTGATCCTAAAATTCATAGGGAGATCCAGAATAGCCAAAATAATCTAGAAAAAGAAGGACAGGCTGGGCACAGTGGCTCACACCTGTAATCCCAGCACTTTGGAAGGCCAAGGTGGGAGGATTGCTTGAGCCCAGGAGTTTGAGACCAGCCTGGGTAACATAGCCAGACCCAGTGGGTAAAAAAATAATAATACATTTAATTTAAAAATTAGGCCGGGCACAGTGGCTCACGCCTGTAATCTCAGCACTTTGGGAGGCCAAGATGGGTAGATAACAAGGTCTAGAGATCGAGACCATCCTGATCAACAAAGTAAAACCCCTTCTCTACTAAAAATACAAAAATTAGCTGGGCATGGTGGCGCGCGCCTGTAGTCCCAGCTACTCGGGAGGCTGAGGCAGGAGAATTGCTTGAACCCAGGAGGCGGAGGTTGCGGTGAGCCGCGATCACACCATTGCACTCCAGCCTGGGTATCAAGAGCGAAACTCCGTCTCAAAAAAAAAAAAAAAAAAAAAATTAGCTGGGTGTGGTTGCATACATCTGTACTCAGTAATCAGAATACACATCTGTACTCAAGCAACCCTCCCACCTCAGCTACTTGGGAGGCTGAGGTGGGAGGATTTCTTGAGTCCAGGAGGTCAAGGCTACAGTGAGCTATGATTGCTCCACTGCACAACTGGGTGACAGAGCAACAGAGTAAGAAACTGTCTCAAAAAAAAAAAAGAAAAAAAAGGAGGAGGACAGAGTTGAAGGACTTGTACTTCCTAATTTCAAAACTTACTACAAAACTATAGTAGTCAAGACAGTATAGACAGCAATATTGGTATAAGGATAGACATATAGATGAATGGACTAGAATAGAGAGTACAGAAATGATTACATTTATAGTAAATTGATTTTTGACAAAAGCGTCCAGACAATTTAATCAGGAAGAAGAGTCTTTTTCAACACATGGTGTGGGGACAACAGGATTTCCATATGCAAAAAAATGAAGCTAGACCCCCACCTCACACCACATACAAACATCAACTCAAAATGGATCAAAGTTCTAAATCTAAGAGCTAAAACTATAAAACTCTTATAAGAATAGGCCAGGTGCGGTGGCTCACACCTATAATCGCAGCACTTTGGGAGGCCGAGGCGGGTGGATCACGAGGTCAAGAGATCGAGACCATCTTGGTCAACAAAGTGAAACCCCGTCTGTACTAAAAATACAAAAATTAGCTGGGCATGGTGGCGCGTGCCTGTAGTCCCAGCTATTCGGGAGGCTGAGGCAGGAGAATTGCTTGAACCCAGGAGGCGGAGGTTGCAGTGAGTCAAGATCGTGCCATTGCACTCCAGCCTGGGTAACAACAGTGAAACTCTGTCTCAAAAAAAAAAAAAAAAAAAAAAAAAAGAATATATAGGCATCTGCTGGGCGCGGTGGCTCAAGCCTGTAATCCCAGCACTTTGGGAGGCCGAGGTGGGTGGATCACGAGGTCAAGAGATCGAGACCATCCTGGTCAACATGGTGAAACCCCGTCTCTACTAAAGGTGCAAAAAATTAGCTGGGCACGGTGGCACGTGCCTGTAATCCCAGCTACTCAGGAGGTTGAGGCAGGAGAATTGCCTGAACCCAGGAGGCGGAGGTTGCAGTGAGCCGAGATCGCGCCATTGCACTCCAGCCTGGGTATCGAGTGAAACTCCATCTCAAAAAAAAAAAAAAAAAGAATATATAGGCATACAGCTGGCATAGTGGCTCACGCCTGTAATCCCAGCACTTTGGGAGGCTGAGGTGGGTGGATCATGATGTCAGGAGTTCGAGATCAGCCTGACCAACATGGTGAAACCCTGTCTGTACTAAAAATACAAAAATTAGCTGGGCATGGTGGCAGGCACCTATAATCCAAGCTACTTGAGAGGCTGAGGTAGGAGAATCACTTGAAACCAGAAGGCAGAGTTTGCAGTGAGCTGAGATCACACCACTGCACTCCAGCCTGGGTGAAAGAGTGAAACTGCATCTAAAAAAAAAAAAAAAGCATATATAGGTGTAAGTCTTCATGACCTTGCATTAGGCAAAGGTTTCTTAGATATGACAGCAAAAGCACAGGCAACCCAAGAAAAATAGATAAGTCGAATGTCACCAAAATTAAAACCTGGTACTTCAAAGAACACCAGAAAGAACACCTGGTACTTCAAAGAACATCAGAAAAGTGAAAAGACAACTCACAGAATGGGCAAAACATAGTTAAAAATCATAGCTGATAAGGGACTAAAATTCAGAATATATAAAGAATCTTACAACTCAATAAAAAGAGACATATAACCCAATTTACAAAAGGATAAAAGACCAAATATACGTTTCTCCAAAGAAGATATACAAATCGCCAATAAGCACATGAAAGAAAAGACAACATCATTAGCCATCAGAGAAATGCAAATCAAAGTCACAGTGAGATGCCACTTCATACCCATTTAGGATGGCAATAATCAAAAGATGGATAATAACAAGTGTTGATGAGGATGTGGAGAAAATGGAACCCTCGTGCACTGCTGGTGGGATTGTAAAACACTGCAGCCATTTTGGAAACAGTTTGACAGTTCTTCTAAATGTTAAATATAGAGTTACCATATACCCAGCAATTCCATTGCTAGGTATATTTTCAAGAGAAATAAAACCATATGTCCACAGAAGTTTCTATACTCTTCCCTGGGGCGGGGGGAGAGCCAGGGTATGGACAAAGAAAACACTCTTGGACATAACTAAATGGGAAAACATTATTTGTTAGCACTGTCCAGGCCAAATAAAGAATTAAAATGTATATATGCCAGGGGCAGTGGCTCACGCCTGTAATCCCAACACTTCAAGAGGCTGACGCGGGAGGATTGCTTGAGCTCAGGAGTTCAAGACCAGCCTGAGGAACATGGCAAAACCCTGTCTCTACCAAAAGTACAACAACAAAAAAAAATCAGCCAGATGTGGTGGCACACACCCGTAGTCCCAGCTACTAGGGAGGCTGAGGCACGAGTATCACTTGAACCCAGGAGGCAGAGGTTGCACTGAGCCAAGATGCCACCACTGAAATTCACCCTGGGCAATGGAGTGAGACTCTGTCTCAAAAAGTGAAATTAAAATAAAATAAAGAATAAGAATAAATAAAAAGAGGCAAGATGCAGTGGCTCACGGCTGTAATCCCAGCACTTTGGGAGGCCAAGGCAGGTGGATCATAAGGTCAAGAGTTCAAGACCAGTCTGGGCAACATGGTGAAACCCCGTTTCTACTAAAAATGTAAAAATTAGCCCGGCACGGTGGCAAATGCCTGTCATCCCAGCTACTCAGGAGGCTTAGACAGGAGAATTGCTTGAACCCAGGTGGCAGAAGTTGCAGTGAGCCAAGATTGCGCCACTGCACTCCAGCCTAGGCAATAGAGTGAGACTCCATCTCTAAATAAACAAATAGAAACACATTAGTTGGTAAGCAATACACACAAAATAAGCCCATTATGTTAGTTTTTAAAGATACTCACAGGTACCCATGCCTGTAAACAAAAGCAAGAGAAATCTGTGCCCAGTCGATCACAAACATTCTCTCTGGAAGCAAGCCTGGGATGGGAAATGTGGGAATTTTTTCCATTTTTTTTTTCTTTTTAAATCTCAGCACATTATATCTGCAATTATTTTTTACTCTACAACTTCCGATATGTTTACATGTGTGTTCAATAAGAATATAATCAGGATTTCTTCTTTATGTTTCTAGCCAAAAGGAAAGGAAAGAGAGAGAAAGCCACTGGAGGTGGGCAGTGTGGGAAGCTGTGAAAGTGGCCACGTGTGAACGAGCACCCCACGTAGTGGGAACAGCAGGAGCAAACATGTGAACCTCTGCAGTATCTGGGTGACTGTGGGGTCTGGCTCTGTTAGAGCATCCTGGATGACTGGTGGTGGGGCGTGGCTGAAGATGAATCAGAACAGTGCACTCAGCAGCCAGGTTGCAAGAGTGCTGCATGCCCCTCAGGGATCGACTTCAGCCAGATGCCCCGGCCTCCTTTTCTGGAGCATTCGGGTTTTGACTTGGGCCCCATGTCCAGTTCTGCCTTCACTTGTAGGTCCACCTTGGAAAACCAGGAAACATCTGGGAGATGAAGGCACTGGACTCTTCCAGACTCATTCCATGGCTACCCAGAAGCCTTGGGTCACCCACCCAACATCCCAACAAATCCCACTGTGCACCAGCATTATGCCAGGGTCCAGGTGTTCTGCCAGGAGCAGCCTCTGCCCTCCTAGAACTGACATTGCATGGGGATGTGCGAACAAAGTAAGACCTGTCAGAGATATTTACAAACAGCCATCTCCTTGACATTGCTGCATCCCAAATAAATCTGGGAAGACCTTCTTCACCTCTAGCTCTCCTGATACAGCAAGGCAGTTGTGAGCAAGTTATTCATAACTCCATACCTCAATGTCCTGATCTGGAAGATGAGGATAATGAGAGGACCTGTGCCACAGGATGGTTGTGGAGGCTATATGACGATATAGGTGCTGAGCCCAGCAGCACAGCGTGCAGCCACTCAAACCAACTGACATTTATTGAGGGCTGCTTTGTCAGGTCCCTCTCTACTGTATACTCCAACACACACATACACGCACAGCTGTAATCAATGGGAATCCTATGAAAGTCTGGCAGCTGTTTTTCTGGGCCTTTGCACGTGCTATGTTCTCCCTTCCACCCCGGGGGTGACTCATAGCCATTCCTTTCTGCATCTTCTTAGATATCACTTTTTCCAAGAAGCCTCCCTGTGGCACCACTTCCCAAATATCACAGATAAAGAAATCAAGACTCAGAAAGGCCAAGTTACTGGCACAAGGTCACACAATCCAGATCTCACACTCTTAGCCCCCCCCCGGAACCTTACACTGTATTAAATGACATCAATTGATCAATCAGTCGATCCATCAATGGAAAGAGTGGGAAGCATGCATCTCCTGATCGCCAATCCTATACATTTTCATTTCTTTGGGTTTTTTTTGTTTTTGTTTTTGAAACGGAGTTTTGCTCTTGTTGACAAGGCTGGAGTGCAATGGTGCGATCTTGGCTCACCACAACCTCCGCCTCCTGGGTCCAAGTGATTCTTCTGCCTCAGCCTCCCGAATAGCTAGGATTTACAGGCACCCACCAATGCCTAGCTAATTTTGTGTTTTTAGTAGAGATGGGGTTTCTCCATGTTGGTCAGGCTGGTCTTGAACTCCCAACCCCAGGTGATCCACCCACCTCAACCTCCCTAAGTACTGGGATTACAGGTGTGAGCCACCGTGCCCACCCATCTCATTGTTTCTGTCAAAGCCCACTAAGTAACTACTTTCCCTTTAGGTGAGTGCCACTAGGTGATGAGGTGAGGTAATCAAATGACAGAGAAGAGGAAGGAGTCCACCTCCAGGGAAGGTACAGTGGAGCAAGTCTTAGAAGGTACAGGATTATAACTCCAGCAATGACCCCTAGGCTCATGTTCATTTCCAAGGTGGCAGTTTAAGAACACATCATCGGTCGGGTCTCACCCTGTAAAGGTAGGTGCAAGGCTTCTAGTTGACAATCAGAACACACAATGCCAAGATCTTATTCCAGCCACCTGCCAGGACCTGGGTGACAGGAGGAGAGTTCTGCCTACATTGCCTCATTTCCCTCCCCTTCTGCAGTGAGACAGACCATGTCCAGTGCTCAAGAGGTGACTGGCCACACTGGGAAGTTTGACCACAACCTTGGGCTCCATATGCATGGAATGAGGCTGCATGCAATTGTCCTTGAGGCTGCTTCCCCATTCGTCTGAGTTTCTGCCCCAGTGCTACCTCCTCAGAGAGACCTCCTCGGACGGAAGCCAGCTCTGCCTCCATCCCATCACTCTGGATCTCCTTCCCCAGCTTCATCTCCATTACACTGGCCACTCCCCGTCATAGCTTATTGCTGATCTCTGTTGTTTACTGTCCATCTCCCCCACTGGGATGGAAACTCCACAAGGGAGGAATGCTGTCAGTTTCCTTGACTGCTGTGTGGTCAGCACCAGGGCAATGCCTGGCACAGAGTAGCCCTCTCTCCATAAATGTTTTTTAATAAATGAAATAAATGAGCTAAGTGGCTAAGACACGTGTAGCTATTACATCAATTAGTAACAGTCTTGCCAGTCTTTTTTCCCTAAGAAAATAAAAATGGGCCTGGCATGGTGGCTCATGCCTGTAATCCCAGCACTATAAGAGGCCGAGGCAGGTGATCACTGGAGCCCAGGAATTCGAGACCAGCCTGGGCAGCATAGTGAGACCCCATCTCTACAAAAAATACAAAAATTAACTAGGCATGGTGGTGCATGCCCATAGTTCCAGTTACTCAGGAGGCTGAGGTGGGAGAATCGCTTGAGCCTGAGAAGCAGATGTTGCAGTGAGCCAAGATCACACCACTGCATGCCACCTGGGCAACAGAGCAAGACCCTACCTCAAAAAAGAAAAAGAAATGTGTACCCATTTTTATAACTGAATAAACAATTTCATCAAAGTAAAGAAGAAAACAAAGCTTGTCACAAAACGTCTCCACAGCAGACCCCACTCCACCCACCATGCTGGTATTATTCCATGAAGAAACTTGAACTGACTCAATAGATTAGATGCATATATTAAAAATATCATTTTCAGCCCAGGTGCAGTGGCTCACACTTGTAATCCCAGCACTTTGGGAGACCAAGGTGGGTGAATCATGAGGTCAGGAGATCAATAGAGATCAGCCTAGACAACACGGTAAAACCCATCTCTACTAAAAATACAAAAATTAGCCAGACGTGGTGATGGGTGCCTATAATCCGGGCATGGTGGCGGATGCCTGTAATCCCTGCCACTTGGGAGGCTAAGGCAGGAGAATCACTTGAACTTGGGAGGCTTATGTTGCAGTGAGCCTAGACCATTGCACACCATTGCACCCCAGCCTGGATGACAGAGTGAGACTCTCTCTCAAAAAAATTTTTTTTTCAGCCAGGTGCAGTGGCTCTTGCCTGTAATCGCAGAATTTTGTAGGTGGATCACCTGAGGTCAAGAATTCAAGACCAGCCTGACCGACACAGCAAAACTCCATCTCTACTAAAAATACAAAATTAGCCAGGTGTGGTGGTGGGCACCTGTAATCCCCCCAAAAAATCTCATTTCACTTGAGTTTCAACCTGTGCAAGTGAAGTGATACTAATTAAAGAATATTTTTATAAACCATTAAGAAAAGGGATCCAATATTTAATTTTCTTTATTTTTTTCTCACTTCAGTCAATGGGTGTTCATTAACTCAGGAGCGTTATTGGGCACCTGCCATATGCCATGAGCCAGGAGTCAGTAATGAACAGGACAACACACCTCTGCCCTCTTGAATCCTGCATTCTTCTCTGGGTGGATGCATACAACCCAGAAATCAATGCATGAATAAGATCATCTCGGGCAAGCTCTATGAATGAAATATAATGAAAGAGTGTGACAGACTAATGGGGAAGGGGCTGCTTTGGACAGAGTGGTTAGAAAAACCATCTGTAAAGGGAAGACATCTGAGCAAAAGAGCAAGAAAGTTTCTGACATGGAAGAAGTGATGGAAAAGCATGCTAGCTAAAGGGAACAGCAAGAGCAAAGGTCCTGAGAAGTCTTCTGAAAACCTGCTCTCAAATTTTCATGAATTGCATCCCAGCCTAAAGGTCTCGCCACAGGTCAACTCTCCCTAACCTCACAGCCTGCCTCTCTTTCCCCTAATTAATCAAGTTAAGGCTGACCTGTATTGCCCACTGAAAAGTGTGTTCTGGGAGGGGGCCCAAAGGGCAGCCCCCAATTTTTAGGGACTTGAGATGTAACTGGGAGCAAGAACTTGCACGTCCCTACCAGCAGTTCAGAGTTCACTTTTCTGGGGCACCGGCCTCGTGGAGAATACAATATAAGGGGAAACCTCTGGAAAAATAAGCAACTGTGCTTCAAGAGCCTCGTGTACATTTCAAGAGGTTCCCCAGGGCTCCATGTTCAGAACTCTTATTTGTGGCGTTCAGAAGAGAGAAACTAAATTGCCAAGAAGAAGACACCAAATGGCTGCAGCCCAGGGAAACTCTACAGATGGGAGGGGCAATCTGCTAGAGATGAATGAATACGGGAGAAGGAGGCAAGATCTGGTCCCTGGACCCTTAAATATACTCCCACACACAGAGACTAGACAATGTCAGCCTGTCAGGAGACACAAGGCCTAAAAGAATCAAGTGGAATCTACCAGTCCCTCCCCCACAAGAGGCAAACACCCAATCACACCCCAGAGCTTCCAGAGAAGGTACAAGACCCCATTTCCCAACAATGCCCTTGACAAAAGTCATCTCTAATCCCACATTCTGAGATATACTTTGCACAAGGCTGGTTAGCCATAGGAGGTGTTACAGCAAAGCTCAAATTTCCCAGTGCGGAAGGGAACACCATGGCTACGGTGTAACCACCACCAGCTCGGTACTAGAAGACCGGGAAGGAGCAACAGCCTGCAAACCCACCTCGTTGAGAAGCTCGGGTTGTGCACGCGCTGTCAGATGGCAGTGATAATAATCACAAGAGCAGCTAACACAGAGGATTTACCCTGTCTCCGTCAGTATTTTAAGCACTTTATCCCTATACAATTATTTAAGGTTTGTACTGTCATCCCCATTTTATAGATGAGAAAACTGAGACATAAATGAAGTAACTTGCCGAGGACTACATAGCTAAGACAAAGACCCAGCGAAGCTTTCCTCTTCCACACCTCAGGGAAGAGAGTGGTTATACCTGGTAGTGCACGAAACGCTCAAAAATAAGTTTCTACTGGTACATTCAAGGGCAACTACCGTCTGGCAGTTCTCCCGTTCTGGCCGAGTGCGGGAAGCAAACCTGGGCCAGGGAATAAATCCAGCAAGCCGAGTCCTCTAGGAACAAGGCGCTCTGTTTCCGCTCTGTTTCCAGCACAAGATGGGTCCAATGATAGTGCGAGAGCAGCTCTCCACCACCGCAAAGCCCAGGGGAACCGTTTCCACCCGGTTCGATCAGCTTCCAGCCTCAGAAAACGCTCACCCTGCTTCTGGCACCCACGTTGACCTTAACCCCTCGGCGTCCGCCACCCTGGCGTCCTATCCCGGGATCTTCCGGCCGCTCGGTTTAAAAGATGCAGCCGCCGGGACAAGGGCCTCAGGCAGGCTGATCCGGCGCCCGCCGCCCGGAGCGCCCTGAGCCCGGCTCCCCCGCCGCGAAGTGACCGGCAGTCCTGTGATCCGCCACGAGCAGCGCCCGAAGCGACGCTGACCTGCGGTGGCCCCGCCGCGCAGGAGGAGAAAGTTGAGCGAAAGGGGCGCGTCCCAGGACAGGTGGCGCCTCCCTCCCCGGAAGTGGCTCCGGGAATTTTCGCTCCAGGGGCTACCCGGGGACCAGAGTCGGGGTCCCCAGCAGGAGCGGCGGCTGGTCGGGGCTGGCTGTGGCACTGCCACCTGCGCTGCGCCCAGTGCGCCCCCGTGCGCTCGTCGTACCCCAGACCAGGGAGCCCTCAGGGCCCGCCGGGGGCGCCGAGACCCGGCTGGGTAACTCGGAGGTGGGAGTGGGGGGTCCAGCTGGGGAGACCGGGGCAAAGGAAGTACCAGCCCGGAACAGGGTC